AATCACTACATCGAGAGAGAGACACAGCCGGAGCACCATTCAAATTCTCGGATACAGCCCTTAAAGTGAGAAGATGGACGCTGGCGGCGGTCCTAAACAAACTCATGCCAAAAACTTCCAATTCAAATACTAATAAAACATATAAATAGGAAAGGACTAGAATGGAAGGAAAGAAAAAAAGAAAACATGCTAAACTTTAGAAGGAAAATGGTTGAATGTAGTTTGGTTCCGTTTTTCGTTGCTTGCGCAACCCAAGAACCTTGTAATGACCATACGTGGGAGATGCCCGCACGAGACGCCTACATCACTAGGTTGGAATGAAGAATTGTAAATTTGTGCATTTAAAAATGCAACAGTTGATTAAAATGTATTTTATATCTCCATCATAATAGAAAAAATAAACTCAAGTGCATTTTTTTTTATAGAGAGCCCAAAAATGGTGCACTTTTGTAGGAACCCTCAGCATCAACATGACATTTTTTTAAACGCTTCTTAATGATAATACTGTTATTAACACACAAACTTGATGCACATAATAATTAGGTTAGGAATAAAACCCCATGATATATCACAAGATGCAAAGGAAGCTGAGCCTATTGTTGATGATTTCTTGTCTCCATAAGAGAAAAGCTTCATAGATTGGGTTAGTTGGACATTGTCACCTGCTTACATTGACTAAGATGAAGAGACTACAACCAACCTACATCAGGTCCTACAAGTGCTTATAAACACATAAGGACACATCACATATTTCAAGTCATACAAAAAAGACAACTAAGATGGAAGCTCTAAACAGACTAATCATCAAACAAAATGAAAATATAAAAATAATCAAAGAATTACTAGAACAACAAACTCCGAACGGAGTTCAATAGTTTAGAATACATATCTACTCACACAAGCCATGCTATTTGTCTCTGACACTTTGAAGAAGAGCAACAAAAACAAGTTGACAAGTTGACACTTTGAAGAAGAGCAACAAAAACAAGTTGACACTTATAAAGTTCGATGGACAAGTTTCAATAATGGAAGATGGCAACCAATTAGATGAAAATGCATACATTTGTAAACTTATTTTCAATAGATCTTTACATGATTTAGTTGAAATAGATGGTCATCTACTACGATCTTATAAACATTTTAGGTTATAACACGAGGCAATTGTATAGAGATATAGATACCGGCTAAGGTATGATTGTAGAATTTCAACAAAACAACAATCAAGAAATGCTGAGAAGAATTCTGGAGGCAAAGAACAACGAAATGAATCTTATTGATGTAAAGGAAACACAATAATACACATGGAAAGAAACCACATGGGCTGCCAACTCCAGGATAGAACTGCAAGGAGGATGAGCAAGTAGCCCAACCTTCCAAGAAAATAAAAAATAAATAAAATTTGCCCCTATACACAAACAACCCTTATTTATAAGCCTTAAGACCCTCTTATTACAAGTTTATCAACCAACTATAAAACCCATAAAAACAGAGAACTAAATTATAAAAACTAAACTGTAATATAATATGGATAGTACTAATACTGACACTTCCGCATCATTCTCTAGGGGTTGGAAAAGATTCAACTCGGGTCTCCAATTCTAACTCTAAGACATTGAAAATGACCGAGTCATTCTAATCTACAGGCAAGTCAAGATTGGTGATTCAAACATCTGTCTTAGATACTACATTCACTGGATCAAAACTATTGTGGAAATGTGCAACTTTCTCTACCATTCAAGGTTCATCGCTACCGCATTTAACTTCCACTTACTTACATCTAATCTTAGTGCAACCTCAAACCCTTGGGCTTCACCTCTTTCACAATAAATGACTCTTCAGCCATTTCCATACATGACCTTGTCCAATGATTAACACCAAACCCCTCCATCAATGGAGTCCAGATCCTTCCCGGGCTTACGGTGACGTGGTTCATTAACATACCAACATTTATAATTGCATCAACATTACCATCTCCAATCTCTACGAGAAGTGATTGGATGTCTATAACAAGTCCTCTGTCCACATCATTCCAATCCCAACAACAACGGAATTGAACATTTGCAAATCCACCACGAACTGAATTACTTGCATCAACAATGATAAATTCAGATTTGGCTGCATTTTGTGCAGTGCACTTACAACTATTACTGCTTAATAAAAATATCAATCACACTTGATCGAATACACATAGAGACCACCTTCTAGCCATCATTACCAAAATAATCATTCGACGATAATTTAAACTACCTAGAGGTTAAATAATCATATAATTCACTGGTGATAGAAGGAACCCTTCCAATTTGAATATTGTTTGTAATGAACCCCACTAGATCATGCTGCCAAATGTCTTTGCATGAACTTTTCACTCTAGGAATTATAACACATAACTCCTTGTCAAACACGGGGGGATCATATACATGTATCTGTGGTTATTCCAACACCGGACCATCAAACCTATCAAAACTTCAGGATTCTTGATGAAGTTTCATTCTTCTTCTTCTTCTAGATTTTGTTTTCATGATCCAGCTCATGTTCCTCAAATTTTCGTAGTTCAAGAACAACTATTCTTTCTTGAAGACACCAGATCTCCCGTTGTAAATCTTCCATAAACAAGTTCTTGATTGGGTCTTGCAACATTTCTTCATGTTGGCATGTTGTTTCATTTGAAAACCATAGTTAAAACAAGGAAAACAGTGAGAAGAACAGCATTAGGGACGATCTTGATTGGAATTCTTGCCAACTGCAGCAAATAGAAAAGTCAGAACCCTAGGAAATCTAGAATTTGCAAACAAAAAAATTGTCAACACACATCTAGATATGCTGGACAACAAAAAAAAGAGAGGCTAAGGAATCCCAGAAAGAAAGCAAGAATGTTGTTTTAGAAGGAAATTCGTAGAGAACATGAAGGAATGGATGAAAGAAGAGTCGAAAGGAAGAAGAAAAAGAAGATAGAAAACTCCCTCTTTCAAAAACAAAAAATCAAAAGAGAAGAAACAAGAAGATAGAAGCCTTGTCGATTCAAAAAAGCATTGAGAAGACAGGTTCAACAACCACCAAGAAAGCTAGAGAATCTTGGCAATCTCTGATACCAAAATGATATAGGCTAGGGTATGATTGTAGAACTACAACAAAAAACTATCAATAATTGCCAATAAGAATTATGCAGGCAAAGAACAACAAAAGGAATCCTATTCATATAAAGGAATCACAATAATACACATAGTAAGACACCACATGGGCAGCAAACTCCAGGATACAACTGCAAAGAAAGTGAATGGGTAGCCCAACCTTCCCAAAAGAAAGAAACTCATAATTCTAAAACCAAAATCTGCCCTTATACACAAAATAACCCTTAATTATAAGTACTAAGATCCCACTAATTACAAGTTTGCTATCCAAAAAAAAACACATAAAACAGAGAACTAAATCATAAAATCTAAACGGTAACAATAAGTACACAACACTAGTACTGACGCTCCCGCGTCAAATATATTGGCTGGTCATGGGGTGATTAGCAACACTATGAATACGGTTGCATGTGAAGAACTGTAGATAATACCTAGAAGAGTGGCTCATGCCCATAGTTATAGATAGATATGTGAAATTTTTCTGCATTTCTGAAATAAAGTAAGTCAAGATTATAATCATCTACTACAAGCGATCATATAATTAGTCGAATTATTCATCAACTTGCTTCCAGATGATGCCAACAACCATCCTTAAATACAAGCCAACCAAAAGTTTCATACTTTTCCAAAAGTGCTATTGGAGTCATATATGTTACACATGTTTTTACAGAGATAGTAGATAATTATAAAATGGATGTTGTAAGAGAAATGGATCCACATCCAAGAATGTAATGACTACAATTCTATTTGATTGACAATTTGCCTACACCCCTTCTGGTTGGAAGGGATCTATAGTGAATAGAGGGTGCTAAGATGGTGAGTGGAGGAGAAAGTATTAAGAGTATTACAAGAATAGTATTACTCAATTGATTCAGGCTACACTAACACCAAGAAGCTTATGACACCCTTTCAGAGATATTAAAATCATTTCAGTGGGTATCATGCATGTATATATAGTAGATATGCGGTCAAGTAAGAGTTCTATAACTATCGTCATGCTCCCCAACCATTTAATACATTAGAGAGAATTTTGGTATTTGAAAAATGAGATTTTGAATATTGAGTCATATACAATAAATTTCTCTGTTAGTTCATGCAAATATTGTATTTCTACAGTGTTGCCAAATTTTATTTTTCTCTATCATGAATATGATATGTACTTCAAGATGCCCTAAACTTTCAATGAAATAGTGAGTTGGGTGATGCAAAAGGTCATAATAAAGACTCTAACTTAAATGCAATTGTCCAGAAAGAAATTCAAGGGAATGTTCCGAAACATGCTATTACCGCAAACATGTTGGATGCACGTGTAACATTTAAATAAAATAAATTTAAAATTAATGTTATTCTTAATTTATAATTTTCAAATGTATTATTTTACTCACAAGCATTGAGTCAAAGGCATCGTTCAACTTGATCAGTTACCTCACATCAATGAGTAAAAAAAATAATAACATTAAATTGTATTTTTTTCTCTGAACTTTAAAGGCTCTAACTGCTACACAACCTATTCATGATTATTATCACTTGCAGTTTTGCAGATTATTCCTATGTTATCACAATGAATTCGTTCTTTGCGATGATAACTACAAATCAATTTGCTGGGAATTTGCTGGATTTAAAATCTATCATGCCAAACATTTTTTATAATTACTGCCTCAGGATATCATAATTCTGAATTTAAGGAATTTACTAAATCCTACTTGAGTTACATACTACTGGGAGTCAAACAACCCAAAGGCTTGCAAAATCTTCTACTTTTAATAGTTCACAGCTGTGAGATGCCGATTGTTACACACTTCAAGTAGCAGAAGCAGTATAAATGAGAGTCAGTAGATCTCCAAAAAAGACAAAGAAGTAACTATCTCTGACCTGAGGAACTCGACTGAACAGATGCCAGAGTGGCCATCAAAAACGGTAGCGAAGGTGAAGCCAGAAAGACCGTCGGATCGGAGGACGACGACGTCCTCCATCTCAGAACGAGGGCCCTGTAGATTACTCGACCCCCATCGAATTCCCGAGACGCCGCCCGCTAGAGGAGAAGAAACGTCTACAGTTACTGCTGAGCATCGTAGCCTACTAGCCCTCCGGGACACGGCAGCGCTCCTAAACTGAAGTGCCTGCTGCAAACTTGGCGGGAGCAGCAGAGCCATGAACACTGGAAAAGCTCGCAGCCGTGGACAGGAAGCGATAAGGCCACATCAATTTTTGAAAAACTATCACTTAGTTTTTGTGGATTGAAAATTTTAATTTATATACCCATTAAATTTAAAATTAGAGAAAGATATACAATATTTTATATTTTAGATACATATCTTCTAAAGTTTTCTTCAAATTAAAATACCTTAAATTCTTTTTCTCATAGTACTTATTTAAGTTCATTGTAACTAATTTTGCTTGAGAAAGAGAAAAGAGTTGAATAAGAGTAGAATAAAATTTGAATAAGCTCGTATTTTACAAAAATTTAAAACATTTTTTTGAAAATTGCTCATATCGTACTCAAAGTTTTCTTTTTCAAAAATGAGTTTGAATACCCAACTTGAGATATGTTCAAATAGAGTTCGAATAAGATTTGGGAATGTTCTTTTAGAACTCAAATAAGGCTCGGGTCAAATTCAAATAAATCAAACCATAATATCATTGAATTACTACAAGCATGACACAATAGTTAGAACTAAATTATAACTCAATTAATATACATAGCATATGAAAATGATCGTGATTCAAAGATTATGTGTCTGAAGATGCTTTGTAAATAGTGTTATTACAAGTCAATTATGGATCAAAGGTGATTTGAAGATGGTTCAATCATGGAACAAAGATTACTCTATGATGGAATAAAGATTACTCGATCATTAATCAATTATGGTATAACAATTACTCAATCATAGTTCAATTATTATCATATCATTGTTCATTTAGTGTTTGATCATGACCATTTGGTGCTCAATCATAATTTGTTTGTAATTCGATCGTAGTTTTTTTTTTTATTCTATTGCTGATCAAATTTAATTAATTGTAGTTCCATTAAAACCATTATCAAGTTGATATAATAAATAGTGCAATCAAAATAGTTATTACTCAAAGAACTAATAATCATTACATTAGAATAGATTATTGAGTAGATTATGAGAAACAAATGATAATAAACACACAAAGTTGTGTTGGGGTAGTGTCTGTCCAAAAAAAAATGTGAATATTTAAATTAATGGAAAAAATAGTCTTATCGCTCTACATTGTTGTGAAATTGGTATATACATGGACATTCTCTGATAAAATGTATGTAATCAATTATAACCCACAAAACAATCTTAATTTAAAATAAAGTATATTAAGTGTTGTAGGGCATTAAAATCCAAAATCGTCTATATTGTAATAAGAAGTAGATAAATCATTCTTTATGTGTGATAAATTTTTAAATAAATTAACATTTCTTATAGCCTCAAATGCTTACCTTATTGAAGCCTTTGACATCTCATTTGTCGTGGTCATTCTCCATATTCATAACGACTTAAATGAAAGTCAAATAGCTCTAATTGCTTTGGCTACATAGAAAGCCATCTACGATTACAAGATGGACAATGAGATGTAAGAGGGGTTACAATCATATAATATCATATATTATGCATTTAGTAGGACCTTACATATAACTAATAAAATTATAACTTATTTACTATAAAATATACAACTTCAAGCCATAGTTTCAAGCACTTACCTTTTTTCCATCACATCTAACTACTTGAAGGTATCCTTTCTTTTAGCCTTCTAGAAAGTAGTGAAAATTGAACTATACTATTGATGAAATAATTCATTCAACATAACTATCCCATAATCTTAAATATTTGTAAAGTGCCAAATTTACTCTATTTCTAAGTAAAATATAAATCAATATGCTATAAATGAAAAAATTTAAAGTTTGTACAAGGGATATTTATATGTTGAAAATATACAGTTAAAAAATATTTTGTTAGACCAGTTAGTTGGAGTATTTAACTCCTGGAACCACACTAACTTCCATTGCTTACTCCTAACTCAATTTCTTTGGCTGTTAAGAAGTCCTACTATCTATGAATTTATCATTTCTCAATTTTTTTTTAACTTGTGCAATATAAATCAATCCTTTATAAAATTGTAAATAATAAGTAGGCCAACTATTTTTCTGAAAAGAAGTCTGTCCCTTAACTCATTCCTTCCTTATATGTATGTACATCATAAATGGTTTGATCCCTTGTCTTTTCCACTTCTTTATATAAGCATATAAGAGTAAGAGCCTCTAATGCTTCCATCTTTTACTCTATTTACTTTGTATCATTCTCCTATTAAATAAGCTAAAATGTTTGGTTAGCGATAAATATTTTGCTCTCCTTTTTCACATAATTCTTCTCTTGATGTTCCTTATTAAAATATTATCATGAATTAGTTAGATTATCCAATTTTACTCTAATTTTTTTAATTATTCTCTAGCTTACTATGCCACTTCTCATCTCTATAATAATTTTAATGAGTTGCTTTATCACTTCTTGTAATGAAATGTATTAAACTGTTGTTGTTGATGCTTCCATTGTCTCACATGCTTTATGTCTTCTTATGATGGAGCTCACATTTTTTTGATATATCTAAGTTAACAAAAATGAGTTGAAGTGTGTCCAATTAACTCTTTGAAGTTCTCCTTATTAGCTAGACATTGTAGTTTAGAATGAAAAGTTGACAGTAAAAATAGGTATACACGTTTATTTTTTGTTTCCTTTAACTCCATTTAACGAAAAAATTTGCACTTGCAATAGTAATGATAAGAAAGCCTTCTCCATTTGTACTCTTTCCTTCTCTAGCTCAGCATTCTTAGTTCTTTCTCCCAAAACTTAGGCTCTCTATGAAACCCAATGTTATAACTTAGGCACTCTAAGGGCTTAAATATATAAAATCGTAATAAAAATTTTTAAACTTATTATAATTTAGGATTAAGAGATTCAAGATTTTTAAAATCTTCTTTTACATTCTGCATAGCCTTCGGGCCGGATTGTAAGTGGGTTGCATGGCATGACCTTCACACAGTCAAAACTAATAGGACATCCACACTTAGGTTTTGAATAGATAACTACATCATTCTGCCCATCATGAGGAGAAGCACTTTTACTTCTTCAACCCAATCTTCCAAGCATAAATTTTATACTTAGGTGGTTTTTTAGCACAATTAGAATGTTAAAGGTTTCCCCGACCCATACGTGGAGTAAGTTCTTTATTGAGAGTACTTTATGGCTTTGTAGCTGAGCCTTGATTTCTCTTCCTTTTCATCAACATCCTTGCCACTTCGACGGGTATGATTCCCACCTCTTGAAGTTTCACCTTATAGTCATATGATAGAGTTATGTTCCTTTGAACTTAGGGCTATCAAGGTCCCCATAGACGATGCAATTCACTAATTACTGACTGGGGTGAGTTGGGTCAACTACCTTTAGGCCCAGGTAGATTTAGGGTCATATTAGCTTGGGATGATGGGTTTATGGTACATTGACCCTTCTACCTCTATGTGTTTATGGATTATTCCTCCCTTCTTTCCCCATTGAGCCTTGCACTCATTTGCCCACTTCATTGATGACATTTGGTGGGCCTCACTTAGCTAATAGGCCATTGACCATTTGAGATATGATGATTTATCCTCTACCCTTATGGCTCAATTGAGCCTCAAAGCAGTGGGATGTTTCCTACCAGATAAATTGGTTATTTCATAGGCCCTAGTCGCTGATGCGTTACTACCCATTTGAGAGACTTGCACTATACCTTATGGCATAGAGAACCACCTCAAAATAACATGTTTTTAGTGCATGTTTTATAAGCATTTTTATGTACATTTTTGATGATATTGCACTTTAAATAATGTATTTTGCATGTTTTTGATTTCAAGTAAATGGAATGAACATTTAGAGAAAATGAGGAAAAAATGGAGCAAAAATAATGATTTTAGCGCCACCCCTTGGAGGCATAGCGCCACCCCTTGGCGGCATAGCGCCACAGAAGGGCGAAAAGGGCGTTGTAGCACCAGTACCTACCTTTCTAGAAGATACATCGAATTTGACCAAAATTTGGAGGGGTGTTTGAAGCAACCCTTGGTTATTTTCTATTTTCTATTTAATGAGAAGGATTTGGCCGAATTTAGAGACCTTTTGGAGCCTCAAAACTTCAATTGGGCAGCAATAATGAGTTAGGTTTTCATATTTTGTGTTCAAGTGTAAGTGTTCAAGTGTAAGTGTGAGTGTGTTTTAGTGTGAAGAAGTTTGGAGATTGCTTAGAGGAAACTTCAGTACTTTGCTTGGGGAGAAGATATAAGGTATTTGTATTTATGTTAGAGTTTTTTTTGTAAGACTTGGATTTCAATGCAAGTATTTTGTTTTTGTTTAATCTTCATAAATTATGAGTAGTTACCTTTCTTTCTTCTTGCATATGGGACTTAATTTTGTGGGATGAGAATGATTTAAAGATTTATTTTTACTTTTAAAAATTGTGATTATATTTTTACTGAATCTTCATTTACTTTGCAAACTGACCACTTGTAAGGTTAAAATCTGTTGAGAAACATAATGACCTGAGAGGGCTATGATTTCACCAAACTAACAGTTACCACACTTCATTCTAGGCAGAGCCATTGCGATCACCTAAGGGGGAGTGTAAATAAATAGAAAGATAAGTTTTGATGGGAGTAGAATTAGTTAGATCTAGAGTGACAAGCTAGATTCTTATCAGTTTAACTTAAGGTTTAGTACCCTAATGTTGGGATTTGGTCATTACGATGGCATAGGCAAGGGGTATCTAGAAGTGAGAGGCTAGATATCACTGATGTGGAGTTGAGATGTTAAAGAATCAGCCTTAAGTTAGCAAATATTCTTTGCAAGCAAAAAAAGGGGTAAATAATAAGGTATAATTCTATTTTTCACAATACCTCATTTTTTTCTTAAATCATTTGAATCCTACATAGATTAAAATCTTTTTTCAAGGGGAAATGTTTTCCATAATATCCAAACTAGTTGTTATTATTTATTAAGCTGTTACATTTAGTTTTTACTTTCTTTTTAAGCTCTTTTAGTAGTAATTTTTGGTAAGAATATCATTTTAAATCTAGCATCTTTTTAATTTGCGAATTAAATATAATTTATTTAAGTTTATTTTAAGAGTTACTACATTCATTGTAGGATCGATACTAGGGTTTTTAAAGAAAAT